TATTTTCCTAGAAAGGCATCTGCCTTTTTGTTTTTAAATCAGAGCTCACACTAATGACATTGTCACATAATTATCTACAAATACCTTATTTCCAAATAATGTCACATATACAGACACTTGTGGTTAGGACTTTGGCATTATTTGGCAGGACATAGTTCAACCCAAAAGAAGTAGGTAGAACATCCATTTTACAGATGGAGACAAGGCACAAAGAGACCGTCTACCTGACACTGTGAGGCTAATGCATTGAAGTATAAAATAGGAAGGCAGAGACCAGACTCTCATGGAATATTCCCAGCCAGGAGACAGGCATAAGACTCTACTCTGTCAGTAGACTGTGGACTGGACCAGAAACAGGTACCTTGTCTAAAGACACACTACCCACAGGTTTATCACTGGTGTTTCTCTTCATCAGGGGCCCCTTATATTCAAGAGTGACAGACTACCCAACCAGGGTCTCCAGAAGAGACCCAGAGGAATAAGACCCATTGAATGTGGGAACAGCAGCAGCAAGACACAGTATATCCAGAATGTACCAGAAAACATGAACAAGGGGGCAGGCCACAATAGCAGAAGCCTGGGGTGACAGGAGCCTGCGGTGACAGGAGCCTGAGGTGATGGGAGAAGTGGAGAGACCATGATGAATTCTGACTGAAGCGGCACGAACCAGAACTGAGAGGAGTGGAAACCTCATGACAGGATCAAAGGGAACCTGGAACTTTGGGAGCAATTTGGGACAAAGAAGTCGTGGGGCCCTTCATGGAGTCCTCTACTCCTAGGGCAGTCTACAGCTATCAGGTTTGCAGAGCATCAGAACATTCTCCACAAAGCTCTGACTACCAGGGCAAGCTTCCCGCCGCCGCCGCCGCCGCCGCCGCCGCCGCCGCCGCCGGCACTCATATCCACTTTGCCTTACACCAATCTCTCACCACGGTTTTGTGTCTTAGAACCCTCAAGTGAACTGGCTCAGGCACACAGAGGTGGGTAAAAGTGGGCTGACTATCACGGCAGGGAAGCCGAAGGAAGAGGAAAAGGCAAGGGGTGGTAAGGTGCTTCATAAACTTCAAGTTCGATCAGCATTGCGGAAGTAACAAAGATTTGCCAGCCGGAATCAGAAGGGTGGGTGGAGCCAGAGCTAGGCCGGTTCATGATGGCCTGATGTGAGTTGAAACCAGAAAGGCAAAGTACCAATGACGCCTTCAAGGGGCTCAAATATACAGAAGAAAGGGAGGAGAGGGGGCAATGTGTTTTAAGAGGGGAGAGAGCTGAATATGTTTAAGGATGGTGGGCATAAGCTATGAATGGCGGTGAGGATGCAAACTTTTGAAACAGAATCAATCAGCTGATGGGAACGGGTTGCTAAGGATGTGAGTGCCCTGACAGGCAGTGGGATTCAGCTAAACTAGGAAAAGGGAAGATGTGTGTGCGTGTACACACAGAAAGTGTTACTAGGATGTGGTAGCCGGGGTGTTTCCTGTAATGGCTTCTATTTTCTGAGTGAAATCAGGGGATATTATCCCCGAGAATGAAGTAGGAAGAGATGGGATAAAGGCCGTGAGGAAACGAATATTTTCAATAGTTGTTTCAGAAAATGGCAGTGAGATCCAACCAGGAAAACAGTGTAGAATGACCAGCTGGCAGAGACAGCTCTGCGGAGATCAAGGGCCGTGGATTTGGGATGCCACTTAACTGCGATTTTATGTGATTTTCTCCAGCCTCATTCAGTGGGGCAGATAAATCAGCGGAAACACTGGTAGCTGGGATTAACTCAAAGTTGAAGGCAGAAGAGCAAAGGGATAAGGAAGTCAAAGGTGTTAGAAAGAGGATGGCCGGAGAAATGAACCATAAGATCCAGGTTGGCCGCAGATGGAATAAGATTGACAAGGCGAGGAGGAAATGGAGAGCCAGGAAACTCAGACGTAAAGATCAGCTATTCCAGAGTACGGGGTGAAGGGCTGGGGTAAGGGAAGGTGGTGTGCGTTTGAATGTTCCCATCAGTGAGGGCTCTCTGGATTTATATTCGTGAATATCGGGCCTTCCGCTGGAGCATGGTCAACCTACCAGGGACCACACGCCAAGAAAGATGACTCTCCCCCTCCCAGCAGTTATCAGCTGTCAATGGCTCCTTAGCGAGGGGTGAGACACCATGTTCCACTCCCATTTCCATGTGGGGGATTTTGTCTGACCTGGGCTTGTGAAAGTTTCTGTGTATGCTGTCTCAGCTTCTGTGGGTTGATATGTGCAACTGCCCTGTTCTGTCTGGAAAAGATTATTTCCTCGTAGTCATCCTGTTGCTGGAGGTTTTCGCTCTTTTTTAGGGGGGGGGGCCTGCCACCCAGCTCCCAAATAAATTACACACACAGAGGCTTATTCTTAATTATGAATGTCCAGCCTTAGCTTGGCTTAGTTTCTAGCCAGCTTCCTTGTCTTAAATTATCCCGTCTACCTTTTGCCTCTGGGCTTTTCCCATTCTCTTACTTCCGTAAATCTTACTCTTACTCTGTGGCTTGCTGTGTAGCTGGGTAGCTGGCTCCTGGCATCCTCCTCTTCTCTGGCTCATCAATCTTAGATCCCATCCAGTTTTCTTCTTCTATATATTCTCTCTGCCTGCCAGCCCTGCCTATCCTTTCTCCTACCTTGCTATTGGCCGTTCAGTTCTTTATTAAACCATCAGGTGTTTTACACAGGCACAGTAACACAGCTTCACAGAGTTAAACAAATGCAACATGAACAAAAATAACACACCTTAAAATACTACATCACCCACTGCTTCTAGCTCTGAGAATCTATCCACATCCTCTTCTACAAGGATCCCTGAGCCTCGGGAGAAGGGCATGCGATACTGGTACACCATTAGGGCCTGAGCACTCCACAGTGTGGTGGTAATCTAATTGTACTGAAATGTGATTTTGATTGTATGTTAATAAGTAAAGTTGCCCGGGGGTCAGAGCTATTAGAGCCATAGACAGAGTGTGGCGGTGGTGGCGCTCGCCTTTAATCCCATAGATCTCTGTGTGTTCAGGGATACAGCCAGCATTGGAGACATATGCCTTTAAGACCTGGGGGGCTGTACATACAGACAATGACGAGGCAGTCATGTGTTTGGGTTTACAACCAATGAGAAGGCAAATGACTATGAAACGACTTACACACAGGGAAATAGCTCTCTTTCGGGAAGCTGGAACCACGGCAGGAGGAAGGGTGAGATTTTAGCTCTGAGCTCTGACCTCTTGGCTTTCTCTTTTACATTGGTTCTGTGTTTCTTATTTAATAAGACAGTTGGTTACATCTACACCACAGTCTCATTCTCTACACTTGAACTAATTTGGGTTCTCTCTCCTAATCTCCATCTACTGCAAAAAGAAGCTTTCATGATAAGGGTTGAGAGATGCACTAACCTATAGTGATAGGTCATGGTCATTTATCAGGGCAATAGTAGGAGCTTCTCCCCTAGAGCTTAGAAAGGTGAGAGAGGGCTCCGAGGGAAAGGGGGCAATGTGTTTTAAGAGGGGAGAGAGCTGAATATGTTTAAGGATGGTGGGCATAAGCTATGAATGGCAGTGAGGATGCAAACACTTGAAATAGGATCAATCAGCTGGTGGGAATGGGTTGCTAAGGATGTGAGGGCCCTGACAGGCAGTGGGATTCAGCTAAACTAGGAAAAGGGAAGACGACGCATGTGTGTATACACACAAAAAGTGTTACTAGGATGTGGTAGCCAGGGTGTTTCCTGATATCGGTGCCACACACGTATTTCATCTTGCACAGTGGCCCTTAAATCCAATCAGAAAGTGCTTGGGTATTCCCATGACAGTCACGTCACTCTTGTGCCAGTGGGCATGTCTTGCCAGACTGGTCATGATTGTTGCTCACAGGGTTCACAGTTGGATGAGATGGATTACTTTTCTCCTCTGGTTGCATGCAGAGCACCTTCCAGAACTATGAAACCTAGCCAATTGGGATGAAGGGTCAAGTTGAGTACCAGCTTGATTTCTCCATGTCCTCTCACTCATGTATGTGGTGTCTTCAGCAATCGGATCTTACCATCAAGTTCTGGAGAGTAACCAAGAGCATTGGTGGCAGCCTATAATATTTGGGGGGTCTATCAGGCCTCACTGGCAAGCAGCTCTAGAAGAGGTACCCCATTCCTAACACTGGTCTTTTTGTTTGCTAGTCTCTGGTATCTAGTAGAGACATTGTTGCCCCATTATAAGGTAACCCCAATTAAACACAACCATACAAACTGGAAGAAGCCTTCTAGGTTAAAGGTTAGCCACTATAAAACGTCACCCCAGTAAAACTTAGATGCTTCTTTTGCATGCTGTTCTTGTGGACATCAGTATTACAGATGTCCCTAGCAGCCTGTCAGCCCATCACCCCCTGGTCTGGATCACTGGCCACTCCTCCTCAGAAGTCTGGAAGAATGGATTGGAAATTTAGATGGATCCAAGGGAACAGTTTTTTGTGAGATGTTTTCTGAAAATATTTAGATGTCTCAGTGACCAGAACAATAACCTCAATAGCAATTCCCCGAGAGTACATTTGTTAGACGAGTTAGTAATAAATATTTTAAGACCTTATCTAAAAGTCACATTAATCTAACGCATTTTATTGGACAATATAAAATATACATGGATATTATAGAAAAACAAAACTTATCCCAGAAATGTGAAGCTAAGCTGCCAACTCTGGAATGCATGCACAAAGGGGAGAAAAGCAGAAACCAGCATTTTGACGAGAAGGAAATGGCTTTACTAACACATATTCAGTTTGTCCAAATAGCAAACAGTTACTGTGTACATGAACTATCTGTAGGCACAGGATTTATTTATGTTTATCCCATCTGTCCTTTCCACTTAATGTCTCTAGGATATATAGTCAAACATATTGAATTATTAATATATGGATTAAGAGTTGTTATTTACACACTTGCGCCATAGATTTTGGATAAACGAAATGTGATTTCACATGATAAAGTATAGTTATAACAAATATGGGTTATGTTTGGTCTCTTATATGACCCCCTGACATGGAATTAATGACCAGTCAAAGGGAAAATAACATAACACACTTATCACTTTAGACAGATAAAAGTCTGGCCTGAGGAGTTTTGAGCTAAAGCCAGCCTAATAGGGTTATTTGTTTTGTTTAGGGTTGCAGGAGGTTTGCCTAGCTGGATAGTCAGCCATGGGTTGCTTGCTAGCTTGGTTTGAGATAGGGTTTCACTCTGTAGTCCAGGCTGGCCCTCACTCACTGTGTGGCCCAGAGTGGCTTCAAACTTGTGTCAATCCTTTTGGCCCAGCTCCTGGGGACTGAGATTACATGTGTATGCCACTGGGCATGAGGGAAGCGGTGTAACGTGTAAAACAATTGGATGACCCATTTGCTCAGTGGTTGCAAGAATATGTTCATGCTTTTTTCCCCATTCAAACCAATATCTAGTCTCATTCCCAGCTTCACAACTGGCCAGTAGGTATCCATAAGCCCTCATTGTCTTGAATCAGCTTATGCCTTGTTTGTGACTCAGACTTAACATTTAGCTGTATACTTCTCATTTCCCTCGATGTTGTGAGGCATTAAGATTTTTAGTGTGTTGGTTTGTTTGTTTACTTGAATGAGGCACATAAAGATACAAGATGAGGCTGGAGAGGTGGCTCTGTGGGTAAGAGTTCTATGCAAGCATGAGGACCTGAGTTCGGATCCCAGCTGGATCTGCCCAAGGCTGGCTGTGATTGTGCATGTGGTTATAACTCTTCCTGGAGAGACGGGAGGATGGCGGATGGTGCAGCTCCGTGACAGGCAGCCGATCTCCAGGTTCAACAAGAGACTCCACCCCAAAAACTGAGGTCAGCCCTGTTAAGACTTTCAAAGCCACCATTCCTACCGGCCCTTAGACCCATGGGATGGTTATTCAAATGAGTCACTATCTGTCACGTTGCCTCCCTTCCTTTATGCCAGCAATTCGCACCAGTATCAAACCTGAGCAGAATCTGAGACTGCAGAGTACAAGAGGCGCAGCCTCTGCTTTGTACACCCTGGCTCCCACACTAACCACGTAGAACCCCGAGTTAGTACAGCTGTCTCCGGGCCTCGGAAAGCATGTAGTAAGGACATTACGACTTTGCCATGTTACCCTGGTCTCTTGATTACATTGTATGCATGGATTGAAATGCCACTCAGAAATCTATAAACAAGTACAATTATTATGCGTCAAATTGTATGTATGTAGATAAGAGAGAGAGAAAGAGAGAGAGAGAGAGAGAGAGAGAGAGAGAGAGAGAGAGAGAGACAGACAGAAATTTTTACAGGACTGGAGAAATGGCTCAGTTGCTAACAGCACTTACTACTCTTGCAGAGGACCTGAGTTCAATTCCCAGCACCCACATCAAGTGCTTTACAACTGCCTGTAACTCCAGTACCAAGGGATATGACTCCCTCTTATGCTCTCTGCCTGCACCTACACACACACACACACACACACACACACACACACACACACATACAGAAAAAAAACCCTAAAAATAAAATAATTTTAAACAATATTTTTCAGAACACTTCTGCACATGGTTATCTTAAGATGCAAAGGCATCTGTAATGCCCCAGGTCAGAAAGTCTGCCATTTTAAACTCTGTGCTCATATGTCCCAACCTAGGCATGAACCTAGGGGATTCCTGTGAGTCCCAATGCCCTATAGCTAATGAAGCAATAGGTGGTTTTAGTACTGAATATTAACTAGGACTGGCACTTTTTAATATTTATTTAGTGTGTGTGTGTGTGTGTGTGTGTGTGTGTGTGTGTGTGTGTGTACTTGTATAACAGAGATTGTGTGTGGGGCAGAGGACAACTTGCAAGAGTCAATTGTCTCCTTCTACTGTGTGGGTCCCAGGGATCGAACTCAGGTTGTCGGGCTTCGTAGCAAATGCTTTCACCTGCTGAGCCGTCTCCTGGCCCTAGGGATGGCCCTTTGGAAGACCTTTTGTTCCCATGATATATTCTCACTGTGCCACCAAAGTCTATAATTGACGCACGCTGGCCAAACTTCAAAACTATGAGGAATTTTTGAGCTGCACCACTTGAGAATCATCCCCCGTCTCTCCTCTCCTCCCTCCAGGAGGCAAGCGGTCAATGCAGAAGTTCTAAGTGGCATGGCGAGCAATTCTCTGGCTCAGCAGTCATGTCTTTGAGGCAGGCACAGGTCATGAAGTGATGGTGGTGTGAGTGGATCAGTCTTTCCAGACATTTGATGATTTCATAGTCAGGAAGCGCCAGAGAGGTCAAGTTCAAGCCCAGCATCTGGGAAATCACCTCCCTGAAGTCCACCAGCTGCAGATATCAAGCAGAGATACATTAGCTGGCAAAGAAAAAAATGCATCACTGCTGCCAGGTCAAACATGACAACAACAGCAAAAGCGGGAAGCCCAGATTTGCATGAGGTAGGCAAATGACCCACTCTAGCCTGAGTTTTCTAAATTCTGCATAAGGAGGCTTGCCTGCTAAGTGACTTCTAAAATCCCTGCAGATTCCCTGGGCTTCAGCAGTTTCATAATCTCTTGTGAGTTAAGTGGCCATATGTGTAGCACGAATCTTAAAAGGTCTTATCAATAAAAACAAACCCTAGGTTGGGGATTTAGCTCAGTGGTAGAGCGCTTGCCTAGCAAGTGCAAGGCCCTGGGTTCGATCCTCAGCTCCAAAAAAACAAACAAACAAACAAACAAACAAACCCAGAGCCAGGTATTGAAGTGAACGCTGGAAGATCAGAGAAACAGAATAAGCCACAGCTACCCTCACCTCGATAACTTCTCAGCTGATCTTGTTTCATCAGACTGGAAGCCTCTACGTCCTCATCCAAATGGCTCTCAGATGAACTGCTGCCAGAAGCCTAAAAGCTTAACAAGACCTAGTTCCTGGTCCTCATGCCTTATATAACTTTCTGCTTCCTGCCATCACTTCCTGGGATTAAAGGTATGTGTCACCATGCCTGGCTGTTTCCAGTATAGCTTTGAACTCACAGAGATCCAGATGGATCTCTGCCTCCAGAATGCTAGAATTAAAAGCATGTGCAACCACTGCCTAAGCCTATGTTTAATATAGTGGCTGTTCTGTTCTCTGACCCCCAGATAAGTTTATTGGGGTGCACACTGTATCAACCACACATGTGTGTATTTGCTACAGATTCAAGAACCCCAAGAAACAACCATCCCTGAGAGTCTGCCTTCACTAAGCCTGTTCTGACATCCGGGACAAGTGAAATGATAACTGAGTACATGCCCTGGGGCCTACAAAGTGCTACACAAATGTTGGTGTGAGCCTGTCCATGAATGGTAACTATTTCTGCATTGGGATGTTAACTGGGTAATGAATTTCTGAAACTCAAAGAGAAAGGAGGAGCTGATGGAAACCTGAGGGCTTCTCAGCCCTTCTCAAACTACCTTGCAAAGACAGCTGACTCCGTGTATAGTTCTAACACTGAGGTAGCTAGGTGTCCATCAAGAAAGAGGAAAGTAGAAACCAGGGCAGTGGTTAGAGTGGGCACCTCCTCTCTTCATGCTCTTCTAGGGTCGTTTCTGTGGCCCTGAACTAACACAGGCAAAATGGGGGTATCATCAAGACAAGCCCTCACTAAATACCTTCCATTTCAGAAAAGATGAGATCCAACCTGTAGACGGAGTATCATCAGAACACCATCCAAACATTTATCCCCAACTTCCTTCCCGAGAATGGTCCAGCATGGGACCAAGAAAGCTTTTCTTCCTTGCACACCCCACCCCCAAAGTGTATATTGAGACATAATCCTCAGTGTGATGGTACTGGGAGAAGGGGATTTCTGGGGTAATTAGGCTTGGATAAGGTCACCATGGTGGACTCTCCAAGATAGACTTAGTGCCCTTATCAATGAGGCCCCAGAGAACTTTGACCGTTTGAGGGTTCGTGAAGACATCATTTGTAAGCCTGATACCCAATCTGCTGACGTCTTGACCTTAAATCTCCAGCCCTAGACCTAAGAGAAAGAACTGCCCTGCATACAAACTGCTCCATTTCCCATGGTTGGTGAAAGCACCTAAATAGAATAAGGCACCAGCCTCGCCTCTCAAAGGCAAGAGCTTCTCTCAAACTTTCCCACCCTTTTGAATGCGGCCAAAACTCACAATTCCTGAGATGTTTTCTTCCTGAGAACACTTGCTCTTACGGTTTAGCTCTTCCCAGCTCTGCCTGACACATGAGCCAAAGCAGAGTAGGGGAAAAAAAAAAATCCTAGGAGCAGAGTCCATTCTCTGCCCTTTCAGCTTCAGAAAGTGACACGCTAGTCAACGGCAGTAGGGGTCAGACTGCCCGGGACAGAGTTCTTTATGTCTGACCTGATGTGCTCAGGAGATAAAATGCTCCTCCTTGCAGCCAGACAGCTGATGTGTACTTTTTTATGGCCTACATCTGCGCTTGGTCAACCATGAAGTCTGGGTGCCACTGTTTGAGGTTGGAGACTTTTTCCTGCAACTGATCTCTGGGGGAGATAAAGCTTTCCTATGAGTCCCAAACCCTGCTTAACCATAAACGAAGTGCGACGAGGCAATCTCCAGAGGCAATTATCAAACACAATTTAAAACATCCCATCACCACCAGAAGCTAGGTCCACACTGGCTCTCTATTGCTTTGATAAGCACATTAATTTCTTTTTCTTGCTTATAGTCTATGCCATGCAAATATGAATTGTTTTTCTTGGCCAAGAAACTCATAATGATTATTGGCCAAAAGAGAGGCAGGGGGAGTGGGCGGAACTGTTGAAATGATACAGAAAGCTTTACAAATTGTGTTGGGAGAAATGTGTGAATGATGCTCTCATTGGCAGCACATAAACTAAAGTTAGAATGGCACAGGGGAGCTGAGGGTGACCCTGCACAGGATGGCACACCCATTCCCAAAGCCATCTGTATCGCTCAGTATGTGACGTCTCATGCAGCTTTTAAGGCACCCTGTCACGTCCTGAGGAGGATCCCACCAGCAGATTTTTATCTACCTGCTGTTCTCTCCTCTCAGCTTCTTCCAGAGTCTTCCTCAGGGTCCTCAGCTCACTGGTGACCACCTCTGTCATGGCCCTGGTCCTCTCCTTGTGCTCTTTAGCCTCCTGCTCCGTCGTCTCCAGCTCGGACTTGACCGACATAAGCTTTTGCTCTGCTTTCTCCTTCGTCTTCTCCAGCTTGTCTCGGGCTTTATTTAAATCTTCGATGGCTTTGGTCTGTTCCAAAGTTTTAATCTAAGGAGTCAAGAGGATGAGGTTCATTTCCCTTGTTCTTCTTTAGGAGAACTGTATACAACAACAGCTGGGAAGTCAATGGAACTCACTTAATTGTTCTATGAATAAAGAATGGACTTCATCCCAAGCGGCTACAAAGACCTTGCAGAAGAGCATAAACTGGACAAGCATGGCCTCAGTCACTGTAGCTTATGAATGATAAAACAGAGTACACTTATTTGGGAGATCAACTCAATAAAATTGCAGACAACATGGTTCTGAAGTGAGATCGCTAAAATAAAGCCTATGAGCAAGTTGGACTTTCTATGCTAACCAGTGGGTCCCTGTGCCTTGCAGACAAACGATAGCAGCGGTTGAATGCCCGGTCTTCTAATGGTGTCACAGGGGAGCCCATCAGCAAGCCTCGACTCTCCATCAGCCGTTACCAGAAGTGTCTCTAGACACCACTAATGAATGTGAGGCAAAGGCCCAAGCCAGGCCCAGGTTCTCTCTCTCTCTCTCTCTCTCTCTCTCTCTCTGCCTGCAGACCAGGATGTAAAGCTCTCAGAAACTGCTCTACCACCTGTCTGCATGCCACCATGCTCCACACCATGATGATAATGGATTAAGTCTCTGGAACTGTAAGCAAGCCTCCAATTAAATGCTTCCTTTTATAAGAGTTGCCTCTTCACACAGTAGAACAGTGACTAAGATGCCCTCATAAGACACAGAAACAAGGCATTTGGATGTCCCGGTAAAACAGGTGGAGCTTCTGCCCCTAACACTATATGAGGACATAGCTAAGATAAAGCAGACATCAAATCTGCTGGCACCTTGCCCTGGGGCCTTCCAGCCCCTAGAGATCCGAGAGCTACATTTCTGTTGTTTATAAGCCACCCAGCTTGTCGCATATTGTTATGACACTCAAAGACGAAGATACTTATCTAAACAGAAAGAGGTCAATGGTAGACATGCTTGACCTCACAGCCACTGAACCGGCTCTAGAGTGATATGAACTCTCTTGGGACTCTGACAGCAGCTTTGAACTCACAGTCCAGAGGGCAAAAGAATACCTTCTACAGCTCTGGGAATAGACAGGAAGTAAAGTGCCTGCCACTGGGGTGAAGGCAGCACAGAGAAAGGAGTGAGTGAAATGGCTGAGCAGGTACTTAAGATGGGAAACGCCCAGGTCTGCAGGAACCAACATTGGTGATCACTCATGGATCCCATGTTGTCAAAACCACATTTTGAAAGTTACTTCCTGCCAAATCCAGTGTGTCCAAAGAGTGTCTCACTGATAATTCCTGAATGGCTAATTCCATTATGGTGAGAATGACTTTGTTTTTTAAAAAGAAACTTGGGGATGTTATTAAGGGGTGGTATGTCAAAATGTACTTCCCCGTGATTCAAGGAAATTAAATCTCTCATTCTCTTTTGTAAAATATAGTAATCAATCAAATGTTACCACAAAGGGTAAAAGAATATCCATTATACTATTATTGGCACTTGTTCTATAGAGTTGAAATTTTTCACTGGCCCTAGTGACACAGATCTTCATTGTCAGTTATTTGGGAAACTGAGGCAGGAGAATTGCCAACTTTGAGATATGTCTGGCCTACAGATTGAGTTCAAGGCCCATGTAGACAGCTTAGCAAGACCCTGTCTCAAAACACAAAGGTTTTAAAAGGACTTTGAATATATCTCAGTGGTATAGCTCTTGATCAACATGCATAAGGCTCTCATTCTGACCTCTAGTTCCACCAAATACACACACACACACACACACACACACACACACACACACACACACACTTCAAATCAATTTAAGAAGACTTCTTTTCAAAGCCAAAAGTTGGGAAAGAATTATATTGATTAAAGATCCCACAAAAAGGGAATATGTATATTTATTTATAGATGACCTAAACATATTACTTCAAATAATATATTGTATAGACTATCAAAAATTTTTCAAGTTGGGTAAACTCATGAATTAAACACCTATCAAACTTTAAAACAAAATCATTATTCTCCATTTGGTGGTGACACATGCCTTTAATCTCAGCACTCAGAAGGCAAAGGCAGGTAGAGCTCTGTGAGTTCAAGGCCAGCCTGGTCTACAGAGTGAATTCCTAGACAGCCAGGGATATACAGAAAAACCCTGCCTTGGGGGAAAAAAAAAGGCATTACCTGTTAAAACACAGATTCTTAGCATTCATGCTACATCATTATTGCAGAGAAAAGCTGTGCCCAATCACAAAGCTGTTGGGATTGGTATTTTGAGTATGAAACCTTGCATTACTGGAATGGATACATTCAGCTTTCTGTTCAGATTGAGAAAACATGGTGAAATGTCTACCAGAAGTGACAGGTCACAGCTTGGAGACAGTCCTAATGAGAAGAAACAGGAGAGGACTCTGAATAATCAGAGGCCTTTTCACGCCCCAGAGGTGCCATGTCCCTGTATAACTTAAGTCCCAGAACCCTGACTCAGGGCAACCAGGGAATGAGGAAGCGGCAAATACATGGGCATGCATCTAGATCAAGTGGTCAGGACTCTCAGATGGAGAAGTCACAGCACCCAGACGCTTAGCATGTGTATTACATAAACAGAGAGGTGAGGTTATTGCACACAGCTGAACATGGAGGTGGGGTTATTACATACAGATAAACAAGGAGCAGAGTTATTATATACCAATGACTAAGGAGGCATGTGTTCCTAATCTCCGTAGGAACAGTCTCTGGAAGGAGCAGTTTTCAGGCAATAAACACCTGGGGGAGAAAGCTACAGTGGACATTTTCTGCATTCACTGTCCACATTGGCACTCAGACCACAGAAAGGCTTTCCCATCTCTCTGAGCCTCACCAGGGAAGGCCTTACCTCTCCCATGGGCTGAGGCATTAAGGTCCTTAGATGGCTGTGTCCATGTCAACCACACACAACTCACTGAGGACATCACCACTCCTCGCTCAGAGGACTGCTTGGATCCGAAGGAAGGGAGTGCCAAGTCAAGCCACCAGGACGGAGCTGGGAGCCAGCAAGAATGACGGAGACTGTGAAATCAAACCAACAACAGATTCCTGGGCGTGGGGTGGGACTAAGTTGGTTTCCTAATCCCCTTGAGGGAACTTCTCAGAGCAGCCCAGAGTTCAGCAAGCAATTGGCCTCTAATTTTCCTCCAGCAGGACAGAACTGGCTATAAACAAGATTGATGTATCATCAAGAGTCCAGCTAGGATGGGGAAGGTTCCCAGGGTGCCACTGGTGGCGAACACTGTGTGCTGTCTGCTTCCCAGGAAAGAACTGTGCAATCTGGTGGGCAATTCCCTCTTATACATAAGTGTCAAAGGCCCAGACAGGAAAGGTGATTAAATCTGAACTCTTCCATGTTGGCTGACCCTAGGGTCTAATTGCTCAGCTGCAGTTGTTAAAGACAGTTCACTGAAAAAACCCTGACAGGCATCAAGCAGAGTGCATGAGTCTGCATGAAGTAGGGCTGCAAAGTTCTAAAGCGGTGGTTCTCAACCTTCCTAATGCTGTGGCCCTTTAATACAGTTCCTCCTGCAGTGGTGACCCCCAACCATAAAGTTACTTTCGTTGCTACTTCCTAACTGTCAGTTTGCTACTGTTATGGATCTGTGTCTTTCTACCTTCTTAGCATTTCAGCCCACAGGCTGAAAGCCACTGTTCTGGAGTGTCCTGATGGCCAAAACATGCTGTGTCCACAAAGATACAGCTATGTAGGGGAGACATTCAACTGTTCGGTCTCTCTCCCCTCCTTGTCCCTAGCAGCCCACACTCTGGGAACTGGCAAAGTATAGTTACCCTCACCACAAAAAGCAGTCTGCCTTTGCAGGCCCTGTTCACTGTGCACAGTGAGAAAAGCAATCCAGGAGATCAGGATTACTGTAGAATGGAGCTGACTCCAGGGAAGGTGAGTAAGGGCTACACTGGCTGGGTGGTAGCCATGTCCATGGGGAAGGAACATGGGGAGCAACTTCCGTATAGGGGATATATGGGAAAAGTCAGAAAAAGAAGCAAGCTTTGCCTGTGGCTGAAGGCTACTGTCTGCTCTGGTGCTTTCTGAGAGACCACAAAGGAACACTCGTGGCTGCTGTGGATGTCTTTCTATACGCTATGAATATGTGTTGCTCTGATTGGTTGGTAAATAAAATGCTGGTTGGCTAGTAGCCTGGCAGGAAATATAGGCAGGATAAGCAGAGAGGAGAATTCTGGGAAGAGGAAGGCTGAGTCAGGAGACACCAGCCTGCCGTCCAGGGAGCAGCATGTAATGGCACACAGGTTAAAGCCACGGAACACGTGGCAACATATAGGTTAACGAAAATGGGCTGAGTTTAAGTGTAAGAGCTAGTCAGTAGTTAGCCTGAGCTAATGGCCAAGCAGTTTTAATTAATATAAGCCTCTGTGTGTTTACTTGGGTCTGAGCGGCTGTGGACTGGGTGGGACACAGAAAAACTTGAGCTACACATGGCTCTCCCCTGAGTTTTTGGAGCTGATTTTGGAACCTGGGTCCTACAAGGGTTGGCCACAGCGGACAGCTGAGGTTCTCCTCCAGACAGCTGGTCTCCCATTCTTTCTCACTAGCCAGAATGAAGACCTACTCCTTAGGCTGATCTCATTTAAACAAAGTCAAGAAACTAAGTTCTGGACAATGGAGACAGAGCTGTTACATCATTCCCAGAAACTAGCCAACAGGTTGTCCTTTAGGCCTTCCTCCTAGCTAATACCTGGAATGAGGCTGGAGCCCCAGAAACTACATGGGACTTAGGGTGAGAGATAATGAAAGCATTGGTTAGGATGCTCAAGTTGAAATCAGAATAAGCCAGACTTCTGAGGACCATTGACATGTCCTTCTAAATGTGGCATGCCCATTCCCTTACACACACATACACAAACACACACACACACACACACACACACACACACACACCATCAGTGCTGAGGGTTTTCCTGAGGCCCATACATGCAAGGCAAGCACACTACCATTGAGTTACCACCCCAGCTCCTTGATTCTTCTCAGTGAAACAGTAATTAACATCCTTCCTGTCTGAGCCACTGGCATTATGGGGTGTCTCAATATATTCCCTAGAAAATGATTATATTTGCAGCAGGCTGTGAAGTATCTGGCTATAGAGAGGTTACACAAAGCCTCTTCTACATCCTCTAGAATTCTGCCACAAGATTTCTGGGCCTGCATTTCTTATACGGTGATATAGGGACACTACTTTAGTAACCCCAGGTTAATGAGAAAAGAACAAAGGTACAGTTAGTTCATCAACCATACATCCACGCAAACTTAAGGCCAAACTATATCACCGTGTGTGTAAGAAGGTTCACACTGGTAAAATGAAGCATGTGGTAGAACACACCTCATCATGCAGGGAGAATTCATAGGCAGGACAAACTTGAAAGCCGCAACTGGCGCCACACATTCTTGTCAATGATGATTTTAGTAAAACAACATCATCAGTTATACTGAATTAATATCATTCATTTCTTAGTTTGGAGTTTTAATCCTTTGATTTCTCAATCAGTTTTGGTTTCATAATGGTAAAAAATGTAATACAATTGACAAATCCATGTAGTCTTAAATGACATCATAGAATTTTTCTAAATTTAACACAAGAAGGGAGATCTATGCAAAAATAGTTCTGTCTTTCAAAAAATATTTCCATAATACTTAGGTTTGCACGCCAAGATAATTTTCAATGGTTTAAAATTTAACAGTTCGTCTGGAAAGGATTTTGTTTTTTCTCTGTCTAGAACTCAAGAAAGCTTAATGCATGGGTCTTACAAGGAGATATTCAGATAACCTGAAGTCAAGGTCTTCAGCCTTAGTTTGCAATGGACATGGGAATGTACATGAGAGCTGGAACTCAAATGTTCATAGCAGCTTTATTGGTAACATCCCCAAGGTAGAAACAACTTGAATGTCCATTAAATTCTAAATGGACAAACAGAAAGTGGTACATCGATGTAATGGATTATTATTCACCCATCAAAAAGATTTACAACGGTTAATGCTATACATCAACTTGGCTGGGCCATGATGTCCAGGTATTTGATAAAATGGTGTTCTAGATGCTTCCTGGAGGATATTTGCAGATGATATTAAAAGTAGATAGGTGGTTTTGGTTTTGTTTCACTTTGTTTTGCCTAGACAGACTCCCATTATGTAGCCAATGATGTCCTCAAATGTATAATCCTCCTGCATCAGCCTCTAAGATGCTATAATTATTTTTTTTCAAGACAGGATTTCTCTATGTAACAGCTCTGGCTATCCTAGAACTCGCTCGGTAGACCAGGCTGGCCTAGAACTAACAGAGATCTGCCTACCTCTGCTTCCTGGGTGCTGGGATTAAAGGCGTGCGCCACCACCGCCCAGCGAGATGCTACAATTATAACTGAGACTCCAAGCCTATTTCAATTTCGCCAGATTGTTCTAGCTAATGTGGGTAGGTGTCTTCCAATAATGTGAAGTTCCTGCATACAAACAAAATAAATAAATAAAATGAACCTTCCCTGAACAAGAGGGAAATTGCTAAGGAAAAATCCAGAACTGAACTATGTCAGACATGTATTACAGCAGAATCCCTCCACCTCCCCTGTCTGTGGGCCTCTTCTATGGTATGTTTTTGTACTGGCTAGTTTTATGTCAGCTTTACATAAGCTAGAGACATCAGAGAGAATGAAGCCACAATTAAGAAAATACTTTCATAAGATGAAGCTGTAGGCAAGCCTGTGGGACATTTTCTTAATTAGTGATTGGTGGAGAAGGGTCCAGCTCACCATGGGTGGGGCCAGCCCTGGGCCGGTGGTCCTGGGTGCCATAAAAAGCAGGCTGAGCAAGCCAAGAGGAGCAAGCCAATAAGCAGCATCCCTCCATGGCCTCTGCATCAGCTCCTGCCTCCAGCTCCCTGCCCTGACCGCCTTTAATGATGAACTGTGAGAAGGAATTGTAAGCCAAATAAACCCTTTCCTCCTCGACTTACTTTTGGTCATGGTGTTTCTTCATGACAATGGTAACCCTAAGACAAAACTCTGATTCTCAGTAAGTAGAGCTTCTATTTTCTCATCCCGTCCTAAACAAATTCCTGCTTAATGAAGATTTCTGTAACTGGCCTGCTGGAAATGACGATACTCTACAGAGACATTTGGGTCTCTCAATCTTTCGGACTATTGAAACAGCAGACCCCAGAGACATGGGAATTTCCCTAGGAAAGGCCCCAGACATGTGTCACACCACTTCAGAATGAGACTTTACACACTGAGCCATCTCGGCAGCTCCACCTTTTTTCCTCTTTTGTTTGAGGAAAATACATATAACCCAGGCTGGCCTTGAATTGTCTGTGTAACAAGAGTGACTCTGGACTCCTGATCTACTTGCGTCTACCTCCCAAGTGCTGGTATTACAGGCACGCACAGCCACGCCTGACTCAAGGGTGCCATTCCTTAGTGTACACTTGGGTGTGCATTGGCAGAAAGAAAACAGAGAAAGGAGCCACACACTTGCCTTGAGTTCGTTGGTGTCAGCCAACTTGGCTTTGAGCTCAGTGTTGTGTTCCCGACACGCACTCAGCTCCTTCTGCATCCTCTCCACCTTCTTCTCCAGCTTCCTGACAGCGAGATGAGCCTCATCCCTCTCCAGAGCCAAGGCTGTGTGTGCCTGCTTCTCCTGCTGCAGCTGGGTAATTTTCTGCCGAAGGAGGTTCATATGCACTTCTCTGCTCTCCAGCCTTTCTTTCTGAGTCCTTAGCTGGTTTGATACAAGAGGATTTTTTTTTTTTTGGAAAAAAAAATAATTGAACAGTCAGTAAATATAAATGAATTACTCAGATAATGTCGATTTTTATCTGTACTTCAATGAGACTCATTTGCAAACCATCAAAAAAAAAAAAGGTCACCGGGTTCCTTTCCCTGATTGAATTTTTTTATTCGTATTTTTTCCAAGAATTAATTCTGTAGCTACAAAGTACGGGACAAAAGAGCCCCAGAAAATGTGAGAAGAAGTCAGCTCTCTGCAGCTGCTTGGTCCAATATTCTGTGCCTCATAATAAAAATGTAAAATTACTTTTAAGACTAATAAAATAGGCTTATCAAGAGCAGAATAAGTAAAATATAATAAGACACAGACAAAAATCCTCTTCAGTGCTCAGTGGCGTCTTCTGAAACAAGAGATCCCACATCATACTGGAAACTTGCCCTAGATAATTTGAGCCCCTTAGAAACAGACTGAGTAGCTCCCAAGATGAGAGTTGATACATTCTTGCAAAAGATATACCCGGGAGACTTTTAAGGAAATTGTTTACAAACTTCGAATCTCCGAAACGGGACTTGATGAAGATTTCGCTTCTCTGAACTCTTTGTGTTAAGCTGTGAGCTCCTCCAGCCAGGCAGGGAGTAAGTTCTTGGAACAACATCACTGACATTGGTATTCAAACTGATGAAGGGCATTGGAGTGGGTCGTGGAAAATGACTACAAGCAGAGAAAGCCTCCTGAGCTCTGCCTGTCACTTCAGTAGGCAGATATTAAATCCAGGCAGTTCCGTCACAGGTCACAAACACCGGGAGGGGGAATTGAGAGCGGTTCAATGCCCGATGCCCAGGCTGGAGACTGTTAGGTGAGCCCTTCATTTTCCCCGAAGTGTTCTGAGGTGGGAAGACTTACTGAAAAACTACTTTGCATTTCTTGCCTGTCTGTGACAGCTGTGTCCACACCTGGGTCAACTCCCTAACAACCCCATCTGATATTTCTCTAATCAAATCCCTTTTAATATTTTTGAATAATGCTTTTATTTATTCTTTGAAACTTTCACACATATATACAATGCATTTTGATCTTATTGAAACTTCAGCCCACAGAGGTTACAGAAAAGCATGTGGGAATCCATCCTCTCTTGCTATCTTGTGAGTGCCAAGGACCAAACTCAGATTGTCAGACTTCACGGCAAGCACCTCTACCCACTGAGCCATCTGGCCTACCCCCAACTCTCTTTCTTGAACCACTTCATGTCAAATTGCACTCTGACACAAACGTCCACTGATAAATTCCACACATGGGTAATCTTGATGACGATATAATTCTTAAGAAGGAATATCACTGGGCATGAAGGAACAAAATCAATTTTCTGAGGAGACGTGAAGAAGGAATTTTGGCCCAATTCGACATCCTTGATGCTTTCTGTTTTCTAAAAAAAAAAAAAAAAAAAAAAAAATTCCTCCAGATACAGTGAGCTGGGGTAAGGGCTAAGTGAGAAGAACAAAGTTTATTCTATGAGACAGGAGTTCACAATTTCTCTTATTAAAATTACGTCTCCAGCCGGGCGGTGGTGGCGCACGCCTTTAATCCCAGCACTCGGGAGGCAGAGGCAGGCGGATCTCTGTGAGTTCGAGGCCAGCCTGGGCTACCAAGTGAGTTCCAGGAAAGGCGCAAAGCTACACAGAGAAACCCTGTCTTGAAAACTAAAATTACGTCTCCCATGAGGGGTATGTCATTCCCATCTTAATATGAAGAAACAGAGAGGTAAGTGATTCGCCCAAGATTACACAGTCTGGCCGAGTCCAAGGGCCCAGATGTACCTCATCTTATACAGCCTCTACACAAAACGTTTCTCCTAAGAAGGATTACAAGAACACATCTGTGTTTCCTTTTCTCCTTCTCTGGGGCCGATAATTACACAGCTAATAACTAGGTTTCATCGCTTTCATTTGTCCATTCACCCACTTGCTAGAAACCATTTCAAACTCTGCGTGTCAATTGGATGGAAAGTGAACGCTTCTCTCTGTGCTTTCTAGCTCAATAGAGCTGGTGCGTGCAGAACCACTCAGTGACCCACTCCCCCACCCCCCACCCCCGGCTTCCCTCCTCACTCAAAGGAGCAGAAACTATGAGATTTAACGGCTGTGTCTGCAAGTCTCTCTTGCGACCAGGTTTGGCCACGGTATAAACGTAAGTTCAGCTAGTATCCTCCAGAATCTTCTTTACAAGCCATCACTTGTGTCTTCATCTTCCCTCGTCTTCCCCTCCTCCAACCTTCGGTATGGAACACAGACAAACGGTTCTCGTTACTATTTTAACCATGGAGACAACAACCTCCACAAGGATGGGCAATTCCAAGGCTTACGGGAGGCTAGTGATAGATAGATCCACACATCAGATAGTCTTCTAATAATATGCTTCCTAAACACACGGCTGATGGTAGTGTAATAAAATCATTTTAACACTCGGGCTTTCCAGGAAGTTTCTTTTCTTGGTCCTACAGAGTGTGACGGTGCCTACCTTTCTCTGTAAGTTGTGAGCGATGGTCTTGTTTTCAATGACAGCATTGCTTTCGAGGCGGACTAGCTGCTCCGCGCGAGCTAAAACTACATCCAGACGCATGTCAAAGCCAAGTTCCGCAGCTATCTGGCCCAATTTCATTTTCTCTGAAAGCTGATCCAGAAACTTCAGATACTAAACCCAGAAAACAAGAATGAAAATGAGACATGGGAGTTAGGGTGTGGTCTCACCGAGTTCTTCTCTCTCTCACAAGTTTACAGGTTGTTCTCTTTAACGTCACCCCAGAGCCTAGATTCTGACTCCAAGATTGGGTAGTGAATGTCTGAACCACCTTACCAATTCTCTGCCATCTTCCTGTCCAAATACTCTGTTCTGTTCTGGCCAGTAACCTTGATGTCAGCTTAATACCAAATACACTTCTAAGCCCTGGCACGTGAAAAATGGGCTGTGCCCCCAATTCCACTCTGGCCTCTCTCTATGTGCCTTGGCAAAAAGCCACTGTGACCTTGCCCCTCCCAGGCTGTCCCAGCACTTAGCAATCACTCGAAAACCAAAGTTCTCCCCATGTATACTAAAGTTGAACATCAGTTAAGGGTTCTTTGTTGTTGTTGTTGTTGTTGTTGTTGTTGTTGTTGTTGTTGTTAAAATGCTTTAAGGGAGCTGGAAAGACATCTCAGTTGGTAAAATGCTTGCAGTATAAGCATGGTGACCTGAGTTTGAACTGCAAAACATACATTGTTTTTAAAAGCCAGACCCTGAATGTGCCTGTAATTCCAGCATGAGGGAGGCAGAGACGGGAGGATGTCTTGGGGTTCACTGGCCAGCCAGTGTAGCCAAATGAGTAAGCTTCCGGGTCAGTGAGAGACCCTATCTCAAAAAATAAGGTGGAACACAACTGAGGAAGACGTATGTTTTTGTGTGTGCACGCACACACACACACACACATATGCATGCATGCATGCACATACATGGGGAGAGAGCTTCAGGAAATGCTCTTTAAAATGTTTAGTATAACATAATTGGGTGAACAACAGTCTAAAACAGAAATGTGTGATATATGTCATAGTTTGCAAATCTTTTAAATATTTATCTTTGTTTTATGTGTATTTTTGCCGTCATATGTGTATGCGTGTGCACCACATGCAGAGAGTACCTGAGGTGGCTAGGAGAGGGCATCGGATCCACTAGAACTGGAGAGACAGACATTTCTTTGTGAGTCACCATGTGGGTGGGTGCTGACCAGGTCCTGTACAAGAACAGCAAGTGCTCTTGACCCTTGAATCTCTCTAGCCCCCGCAGCTCATGTTTTAATAAACTCAACCTGCACAAAGCTTAAAGGTCATCCTTCATTTAGCTGCTATTGTTTACCTGAGCATCTTCGGACACAGAACGCTCAGTGTGTGCTGGATGAGCGATCCAGTCCATCAATGCTCTTGCTCTACGGCAATTACAGGATTGGGGTTCTATCTCCAACGCTACCTTCTTGCTGCAGTAACTTCTCAGCATCTGGCACTTTCAGGCAATTAGATGGTGAAATGAGTATCATTTCCTGCCGTCTAAGTGTATCAGTTTAAAGCTTGAACTATTTATATTTTAGTCATCAGGATGGAATTATCTGCAAGTGTATATTTTCCAATTTTGTTAAGTAGCATACAGATAAATACAATTTAATCATCTTTGGAATCTACAGTAACTACCAATATAGCATCATTCACTACGCTTTGACACCACAGACAGTTTTACATCTGAGTTGTCACACTGTCGGTTCTTCTTGCTCTGGTGGTTTCTCCGTTTGGGATTTTATTTAACCTCTAATATGTGCTTGAACATGACCTCGCTGCTATTGCTTGCACTTTAAGTGGAGGAAGCAGATTTACCCTCATAGATTGGTAGGATTAATATGTGAAAATGGCCCTCCCACCAAAAGCAATCTACAGATGCAATGCAATCCCCATCAGAATTCCAACACGATTCCTCACAGAAATCGAAAAGGCCATTTTCAATATGGAAACACAAACAAACCAGGATAGCTAAAGCAATCTTGAATGACAAAAGAGCTGCTGAAGTTATCACCATCCCTGATCTCAAGTAGTACTACAGAGCTACAGGAATAAAAACCACGTGGGACTGGCATAGAAACAGACATGTTGATCAACGGAACTGAATCGAAGGCCCAGAAATGAGGCCACATACCTGTGGACACCAATTTCTGACAAAGATGCCAGAAATACACACTGGGTAGAAGACAGCATCTCTACCACGTGACGCCGGTCAAACTGGATGGCTGCATATAGAAGAATGCAGATCCATACTTATCGCCCTGCATAAAACTCAACTCCAAATAGACCAAGGACCTCAACATATTACCAGATACACCAAATCTGATAGACCAGAAAGTGAGGAACTGTACTGAACTCACTGGCATAGGAAAAGACTTTCTGCACAAAACCCCGAAAGTACAGGCACTAATAGGACGACTAATAAATAGGACCTCATGAAACTGAAAAGTTTCTGTATGGTAAAGGTCAAGGGTATTTGGACAAATGGGCAGACTACAGAACACGAAAAGATCTTTACCAATTATATATCCAATAGAGGTTGAATAATCTAAAATTTTATGTGTAGTTGTGGTGCCTGTCCTGGATCTTGTTCTGTAGACCAGGCTGGCCTCGATCTCACAGAGGTCCACCTACCGAGGGCTGGGATTAAAGGTATGCGCCACCGCCTCCTGGCTTGAGGAAGGGCCTCTTTCGAGGCTGTTAGCTGTTCTGTTGAGGGCACTAGAGAAGTGGCCCAGCAGATGGGGGTATGCACTGCTCTTGCAGAAGATCCAAGTTTGTTTCCCAACACCCCTTCAAGTGACTCACAACTGCTTCTAACTCCAGCTCCAGGGCATCCAGTGCCCTCTTCTGGCATCCTCGGGTACCTACACTCATGTGCACAAACCCATGGACCCCCCACACACACACACACAATTAAAAATAAAATAAATCTATCTTTTTTTTAAGATTGCAGTTGATGGAAAGTTGTTTTATTTCTTTTTTTTTTTCTAATTTAATTTTTTTTTTTTTTTTTGGTTTTGAGGTAGGTTATCACCATATAATACAGGCATGCCCGAATGGCTTAAAAATCTTTAGTTTTGCAGAAATAAAAAAGGGGGTTACTGTGTGTTTTATTCATTTGAATCACAGGTTACCATGAGTTAGAGACCATGCATTCTACTCTATACTGTGCTGGTCTAGAGTATATCTGGTACTTGATCTCTATACAACTTTACTTTCAATTTTACATCACCATGCCCTTACTGCTTGCATCTGTGGAAAACTCACTGTGGACATAATTAGCTTATGTAATCTGCTTTCATAGCTGAGAACTATTTTGGCGCAATTTTGATGAAGTCTAATGTACACTTATGTAGAAAGAAGGGAAGAGAACTCAACCTACATGAAGAGGGTCCTAGTGGTTCACATTTGTAATTCTAGCACTTAGGAGGGAGGCGAGAGAATTGCCAGAAGTTCAGGGCCAGCCTGCACCAAACAGTGAGTTCCAGGCCAGCTTGGGATATGGCGTTCAAGGCCAACCTGAGCTACAGAATGAGAACTGATCCTTGCCAGAGGAGGAGGAGGAGGAGGAGGAGGAAGAGGATCATGTCCTCATATTTGTGAATAAGAAAGAAGCTGTTCCTCCTGCCTCCCAGTTCCAACCGCATTCCACGTCCATTTCCATCAGAGCACCAAGGGTACCAATCATGCCCTAGTCCACCTGTCTTGTGTGGACTGGATTCCACAGAGACCTTTTGGGCATCTCTGCCTATCTGACCCCTCATGTAGCCATGGCCATCCTCAGTTCCTTTTAAATTCAGAAGAATGAAAAGGAGTGAGTTTCCAGAGTACACTTCTCTCAATCAAAGAGTATCTTCCATGACAAATTTTGTCCCCCTAGTCTTGATTCTAGGCACCTCCTTTTCTGTCCCTGCCCTCTCTCCATGGACCCTTGTAGCTCACAAGCTCTTACTTCTTCACTATTACCAACAAAGCCTTTCTTTGACCCTGCTTTTCATGTTCTTCTCGTGACTCTGCACCCCTTCCCTTCTAGTTACACTCGGTGCAAAGCAAGCGAGCTCACTTACTCGCCATTCTGCAAAACCATCTCCAAGTCCTGCTGCCCCCCCCCCAGGCTCAGGTCCTTAGGGTGGACTATTCTCTCATGCTATTCTTGTCTCCCTCTAACCTAATGGTACTATTTCCTCTGAGTAGTTCCACTGCGACATCTCAGCTCCACCAGGCATGCATTGCTTCACCGTGGATCTAGGTTCCGAAAGCTGCGGCATCAGACAGGGCTGTCATGGTGTGGACATCATGGACAGTTACACCACCACTCGATGAGTTTGTCTTTGTTAACTTTTGAGGTGCTGGGGATGTGACCTAGGGCTTTGTGCCTGGTAAGCGCACACTCTACCACTACACAATAGCCCAGCCATGGTCATAGAGGACCACCGCCATGCACGCAATCTACCACTGACAAAAGCATCATCAGGCAACAAATGACTGCACTCTGATGTTCACAGTCATTAATTATGCTTTGTATTCTATAGAAGAAAAGAACCTTCAGGTCTAAAAGATCTTCGCGTCCCATTCTTCTCTTTGCCGTAGCTCCACTAAGAATGCCACATTCTACCATATACGATTACCCACTCTGCATTCTCTGAATATAGCACTGGTAAGACTTCACACCTTTAAACCATGTCTACCTACAGCATCTGCCCCCTCCCCACTATCATCCTATTTAGCCTTCAAAGATGAATTGAACTATCTCCTCTCTTATAAAATCCCCTCCTTGTCCAGAAGTGTCTACAATACTTTATTAGTACACTATGACAACTATAATATATATAGTCTAGGGTACAGCAGGGTATCTTAATGCCTGTCTCCTCTATTAAATGCCAGGCCTTTACTAATAGAAACTATACATCACCCATACTTCAGCTACCCCAAACCTTCCAACCTCATAGATAGTGAATACACAATAAATACATACTGGCTTTAACTGGATTAACAATCAAGGAAACCCCAAACAATAGGAAGAGGCTTATTATTCCTTGGAAATTAGCTTGTAACTCAAGACATGATCAGTCCATAGCCACTGCAAAGTTCAGAATGTTCTCAGGTACAGTTTCAGCCCATGACAGATACTCGCACCACAGATGTGCCGTCCCATTCTTACTTTCTGTTTCTCAAGATTCAAGTTGTCTCTCACAATGTCTCCAGAAAGCAGCTCTCCCTCCAGGTGACTCAGCTGACCCTGAAGGACCGCCAACTTGCTCTCTGCCTCATGGGCCCTCTGTATGGCTTTCCGGTGAAGCTCGGCTTCATTTCCCAACTGTTCGACAAGGTCTGATATCTGGGCTTCAAGCTGAGAGACCATCTGGAAACAAAGACGGAGAAGAAGGCAAAGCCTTGTTTAGATGACACAAAGTGTTCAGATCCACCACTCTGCCCAAGAAGCCTCACCACTGTGACACCCACTTGCCGATTCCTGGTAAAAATTAAATTAAAAATAGGTCCTGGCCGGGAGTTGGTGGCGCATGCCTTTAATCCCAGCACTCGGGAG